CCAAGCATGAAAGTCTTGTAGAAATTAGAGCTACAAGTACAAGTTTGTAGAAAGAAGTCGAGGATGCGCCAAGATGGCTGCACCCTCCTTCGCTCGCTCTTGCATCTGTAACGATGTGTACATCGTGTACATAGTGCAGGATATTTTTTTAAAACCAGATTCATGAACATGTGTATTTCTTTGGATTGAGGTGAGATGGCGCCTCTGGCACCGCGTTATATACCACGACTTAAACCGGTGACTTATCATGTCTAAATATCTGATGTGTGGAAGAAAGGATGGGTCCCCGTGTACCACCCTTATGTCGGGAGTCAGGAATGTTTCCACCGGTATCCTGAAAGGAGTTGATCAGAAGTTAAGCGCGAGGGAATAGTGTACACCCCCTAGGGAGGTAGAGCCGAGTGGGCATGACTACCCGAGCAGGACCGTGAAGCGGAGATCGCTCAAAGCCACTTTTCATTTCCTTCCCTCACACACCTTCCTTTCACTTTCTCTCTTTTCTCCCACTCGCTCGCTCCTCTCTCCTTCCTTTTTCTGTTGCTCTTTCTAAGCATAAAAAAAATTCCGACACTCTCACTTTAGCGGCTAATCCAAAGAAATACACATGTTCATGAATCTGGTTTTAAAAAAATATCCTGCACTATGTACACGATGTACACATCGTTACAGATGCAAGAGCGAGTGCCTGAGTCATGGGTCACCTTCCCATGGCGTTCACAGCAGCTTCTCCAGGGTATTGCACTCTGCCAGCCCTGGTGTTGGGAGGATCTCACCATGGTGGGCGGGATTCATGTGGCGGTCCACCACTGACAGCAGGGCCCACCATACCATTAGTTCCTTTTATTATAAAAAAACCCCATCCTACAAGTAATGTTTAATCTTTCTCCTAAAAAGACGAGTACCCCCTTGCACATCTTCTCCTCCTCCCGAGGTTCCGGCACGGGAGGAGGAAGCATTAGGTCACTTTGGTACTCTTGAATCCTGGATGAGGAATGCTTGTGTACTCGTCCAACCACCCTAGAGTTCTAAAGAATGTAAAGGAATATATCACCATCTTTTCAATGGTACTGATTGACCCTTTAAATACGCATGAACGCCAGGGGAAAATTAACATAAATCTTATGTAAAATGAATGTAAACATGCTGTTTGGAATGCAAACGGGAATGCCAATTTTTCGTAAAATTTGTTAATTTTATATCCCCGTTTACGTATTCCAGAGGTGACATTTCTGCAAACATGTTGACATTATCTTGACAATGGTTTGCGTAAACATGATATAAAATGGACAAAAAATTTACATTCAGTTTACGTAAAATTAACATAAACATGCCGTTTGGGATGTCTCTAGGGTGTGAAATTCTTTTTCATGTCTTCCAGCGTGTGCGCCAATAAATTTTGGTCTGGAAAGCTCAAACTCATCAATTGCCTCATTTTGACGACCCCTATCAGTCCACTCCTTCAACGCAGTCGGATGTCATTTGGACCTGATTTGGTTTCTGTCGTCCTTACATCTCAGTTGGAGTCGAGGTTTGGAACTGGTCTTCAAAATACATTCGAGAAAGACAACAGAACGTAAGAGGGGCGCTACAAAATTGCATGCCAAATGACTTTTTTTTGGTAGTTCTTCCGGGATTCAACAAGATTAGGTGATTTTTCTTTTTTCTTTTTCCTAAACCAAAATGGTGCGACGAAAATAAAATATTCGCAGCATAAGGCTCAAAAAAGGTCACCCCCAGGTCGTCCACTCTCGTCAAGGGAAATCAGCAAGTGCTGATCTGCCATGGTTTCAAGGACGTCTAACTGCTAATCAGTGTCTTGCAGAGATGAAATTATAACTGGGCTGTCTAGCACCTTCTATGTGATTTGTGGATGACTGGTTTCTAGAGTTATGGTTTGGACATTTCAGTCTGGAGGACGGGCCTCGTGAAGGTCGTCCAATTTCAGCAAGTGACAAGACAAATGTGACTGAAGTGAAGCACGATAGCGGAAGACCGAAATATAGCGTACTGTCACAGAAGAGGCCCTTGGGACTGGAGAGGCGGCATCGAAAAAAATTTCATTTTTGAATTTTTGGGGTGCATAAATTTTCTTCATGTTGGATTCCCCTTCCACTGAGTGCCAAAATGGTTCGAGTAAATTCCTGCAAAAAAAGCTGCAGAAATGCAAAAAAAAGTTTCAAAATGTGTGTGTGTGGTGGTGGCAAGACCATGCAGGTATGACTCTTCAAAACAGTATTTCACAGTTAGCCGCCTTCAGAAACCATTCCAAATCAGCACTCGCCGATCACTCTGGGTCAAAGTCATATGTACTGGGGGGGGGGGGGGACCTGAGATGATGAATCTATGATGAATCGATGCCAAGGTGAATGGCAAGGATGGAATATGACGGAACCGAAACACTTCTCTCGCCGCTCACGCACTGTCTAACATATTGTTTCTTCTCAAAGGGAGATTTTCGGCACGTGCCCCCTTTTACACATCTGTGTGGTGTCATTAGCCTGTGATTGCTAGGAAATTTCGCTGACTTAAGTCTTCTCATACTTCTCATATTTTTCTGACACTAGCCTCCGACTCAACGACAAATTTGTCGCGAAGCTTCTCCTACGTTTTCCGAAAGCATGAAACATTCCATGATCTGAATCGATTATGCTTCTCGTTTTCTAGACTGAACCACCTATGCCATTGTAAAAAGGAGAGGAATCGCTGCCGGAAACGAGGACTTCAACTCGACATACACACGTATCTCTATTTTCCTTATCTGCTAGTCAGGTGCTTACGAGAAGATAGAATTCCCTTGGAAAGGACAATCCGTATCGATGAATGAAAATTCCGTGTCTAACCGGCTTCATCAGGCGAGGAGAGAGAAATTATTCATTGAGTCGATTTTCCCAGTCGTTCCTGAAACCAGTTTGACTTCAATATTCCTCCAATATCCTCTATTCAGAAGGAAGACGCCGTTCATTCTAGCACGATGGGTTTTGTTCTTCCTCGCAACAGGATACGAGATGAGGACATACGCTCCAGTGCATTTCCAAAGGCGTGAAAGAAGTCTCTCTCCCCTCGCACATCTAAGTGCTATTTTAGCGATAAAATTTTCGTACCTACGAGGCATTTCGTATCTTGACCCTTTCTACAGGAGCCAATTATTCGCCTTACGAATGCGACCGAAACGGCATAGGGGAAAGTTGCTGATTGCTCCCCTGACAGGGGAGCCAACGAACGATTATCAAATATGCCTGATAAGGGCCAAGAATATGCCCGAGAAGTGTGGGGTATTCGAGGGGAGATAGTGAAATAGTCTCTTGAGATTTGTGTCAACACTGGCTTATGGCGTGGCCAACGACGAAGCCATCAGAGGATGAATGTGCCCTGTGGCCTTGTCCTCCGACGTTCATATCAGAATCCTGCAGTAAAAGTTATGGAGGCATGCCGAAAATTGGCAGCTTTTTAGGTTACACACCGGACGGATGAGGATTTCGACAATCGAGGAGACGGGAGACGCGATTCAACACGGCAGAAAATTGCCTTCTCTGGCTTTGGCAATTTCATTCTGTAGGTCGGGCGGTGTTTTCGGTCTAAAAATTGGGAAACGGGACGGGAACGGATGACGACTTACAGAGGAGAATTCAACTCGATGGTAATCAGACGTCGATCGTCACGTAAGAGGAAGGAAGGACCGGGACGGAGGGCAGAACCGTGACAGGCAGCAGCTAGCGTGAAACTGACTCTGCCGGCACATGAGCATTCGGTTATACAGGTACTTATAAAAGATAAAAATTAACCCCCCCTGGATCAAAATTCTGCTCTATAATTATGGTTAGGGACCTCGAAGGAGGGCCCAAGAGCCACTTTACGAGACTCTAAGGTCACCGGTGTGGACAGGAAGTAGGGTCAAAGGTCACGATTTCGATGGGTCTCCTCAGAGGCTTTTATCTCCAGCATCGTTCAACGCAGAACTTTGAAATTAGTCTCATCCTCTTCCTTAGATTCGACTCTAAACGATGATATAAAATTCTTGAAGATGTTACCACGGGTTCGGGATGGAGAACGAATTTTGCGAAAATCTCGTCTCGTCGCGCCTCACGTTTACCCCTCCCAAATCCGTTGCAATCAACGCATCGAGAAATCCATGCATGCGATTTTGCATCATGACCAGTTGCATCTTTATGCGAAGTGGCGTTCAAATCTTATAGACAGTTTTCGCGCGCCATTTGAAAATACTCTCGAAAATCATAGTTTTTTAGTTATTTTGAACTTCGGACCCGGATTACTCGGGAACGAATAGGAGATGCTGCAATTTTTGTGCACCGATATTTAGAGACGACTGTCGCGAAGGGCTCTGCCTAATTAGATGCCAAAATATTCATAAATCTCTGATTTATAGTGATTTGACTGATGCCAAGTCGGAGAATCCTGCAGGAAACGGTGACGTTTTCCCCTGCATGCCTCCTCACTCGCATAATGCACACAGCCTCTTCAGCGTACCATGTAGCAGAATGATCCACGATTCAGATGGTACTTGAATCGTCTTTCTAGGCTAACGGGTTATCGAATGTCGGGACTTTACCCCTGTTCTGGTACATGTATTAATATGTCCTAAACAGGAAACTATTACGTATACTTATTGGATGCGAGACAAGTGAATCAGATATTTGCTAAATTTATTCATACAAATTGCTAATAATCTAAGCTTCAGTTGCTTTCAGTCGTTAACTTACTTCATACATCTTCTTTCCGATGATATGATGAGATGAGACAACCACAAATGATAAATATATATGTTTTAAATACAAATTTGTGATGATCTTATTCGATACAGAAAAGGGACTTCCGCACTGGATGGCGTCTATAGCGACGAAGACCGAAGCTAGGTGTGCACAAGGAGAAACATGGACTGACCAATGCATACGTTGCCTAGCAATATTCTGTATACAGGAAAATCATTAGGGTGGCAATCGATGCGACATCGCGAGTCAGCACCCCAGTCAGAATCGATTGCTATGGGTTTTCTGGATGAGACAATCAAGAGCGCTACCTGCTTTGCAAAGCAACTGGTCATTTCTAAAACATATCATTTGGAACGACGAATTGTTTAGTTCCCTAATCAAAGTTTTCTTCTATCCCGTATCATATTTTAAAGAAAACATGTTTCTTTGAACCTAATATTTGGATCGTATTGTATGTCACGTGCTTCATCCTCGAGTTTATTGTCTAACACCACTATCTTTAGTATCAATAAAAATGTGATACGCCATGTCATGGAATTGAGCTAATTCCATTAATTGATAGAATTCCGTTAATTAATCGGTTAACTTTTATTTAATAATCGTTCTATTTGTTTAGTGCCTCGTCCAGAACATGAATGTTCTGAAAGATGAAGTTCTGCTATGTATTTTAAATTCAATATGCCATAATATAATTACTGAAAGATAAAAAAGAAAAATAATAATGCAAAATAAAAGTATGGAAGGGAGCAACGAGTATGTTGGGAAAGAAAATGTACAACATTCGAGTATCCTGGTGTTACTTTCATTCAGTCGAGAAGATGGAAGGTGATAGCACTGACGCTGCGCTCGTCAAGCCCAACTATAATTTCGCCCTCGCGTTGTTCACTGAGAACAAACGCAGGAAGACTTTCAACTGTGTTTCTGCAATAGCTGGTTACGTGAATGTGGACGAGCTCGTCAGGTGGGGATTCTATCTGGACGTCGATCCCAAGACCGCATCGAAGGTACACGACAACTTGGAAGAATTATCAAAACTCATCGTATGCTGTGCATTTTGCCGAGGGAAATGCAGTTTGAAGACCTTCTTCATCGCCAGCGAATCGAGTGAAACTATCCCAAGACCGCATCGAAGGTACACGACAACTTGGAGGAATTGGCAAAACTCATCGTATGCTGTGCATTTTGCCGAGGGAAATGCAGTTTGAAGACCTTCTTCATCACCAGCGAATCGAGTGAAACCATTCGTCCGCGACATCGTCATTTACCTCCTGGCTACGAAGCATATTCCACTCCGCCAAGCGTCTACCAATGTCACAAGGAAATGAATTGGCTGTGCCCCCTGCTGACGGGCAAATGTCTTTCGAACGTGGAATTTTCATCTCGTGCTCTGGGCAAGGGTTATCCATCTGACGATGAAGATTTCAACCCTAACCGGAAGAAGATGCTGTGCCATGCCAGACGACTCTGGTCGTTTGAGTTCTTTCCGAAGAGATACATTGTATCTACTGATGAAATGGCAAGATGGGGTCTATATTATACCGGGATCCGCGACGAGACAGCTTGTATTTTTTGCCGTCTGATCATTCACAACTGGGAATACGGAGACAATCCGTACGAGGAACACCGTAGGTTTTCCCCCAACTGCCCATTGATTAGAGGACGTAACATCATGGATATCCCATACGAGAACTCTCAATCCTGACGACATTAATACGGAAAAGGAAGGAAAGGAGATGATCGACGCTCTAAACAGACAATCTCCAACGAGTTCCTTCAAATCTGGTAAGTTCGTGTCTCTCAATTTTCATCAGGTAACGAATAAACTCCTTAATGATTCATTTCTTCGCCCGCAGACGCTTCTTCTGAGCTGATCGGTGACGAAGGTGAGGATTCCGGTCATTCCTCAGGAGCAGTCAAACAAGGAGGGGAGGAATAAAAAAGTGTCTTCGATCCCCCAATCGCTGCATATGTATACAAACACGGGCTGATTTTTATGTTTATCTATATGTACTTTGATTCATGCTTAATCTTGGAAATAAAGAATCTCTCTTCAAAGTCTATTTCCTTTAACTGAAATGAGAAAATGAATCGCCGAAAGGCTGGTTATCGAGCGGACATCCATAACCCACGTGTCTACATCGCCCTGCAGTCCTCTGCAAGCATCCTGCACACTTTATGTTGTTTTCGTTCTTGCAGGAAGCTTCAGTCCTGCCGAAACTTCGAAAACACATCTTTCACTGATCACAGAATCTAATGGCAAAATAAACTATCCCAAGGTTCCTGAAACCAAGAGACATTTTACACACAGAATCTTGTTTGAAGTGTCACGGTAAGAGAATATAAAATATGCGACCCCGCGTGGTATGAATGACACCTGACATTCAATTACAGTCCCCGCCAATATGTATCACTAGTGGGCCCCGGAGTTAGCAATTCAGAGTATGTAGTGGATTAAAATATATGCGCTGGTCTCGATGTAATAGTTACATAGAGTATTTTTAGAGCTATATGCAAAGAAGTAAGGAAGTACGGCATGCCGTCCAACCCTACATGCTAAAGAGTCACCAGAAAGAAAGAACGGCCGCATCACGGCCGTTCGCAAGCCGGCCCCAGGAAGCACTATCGGGAGAGCAAGACGTGACGGGAGAAGATCTCGAAATCATGCGCGAAGTACTTGCGACAGAGCAAGGAATTTCCCTCCACGAAGGAGGCCTCACGCGCATGAGGAAAACCAAAACCGGCGCGCCTCTTCCCCTCATTCTCGTTAAAGCC